AACTATACAAAATCTGTATGTTTTAATTTTTCAATACAATTTCAGCACAATTTTTATATATTTCAAATTTCAAATTTGTTTTCTGTACGATTTCTCTACGTTAAAATTTCTGTACAGTTATTTTTGTATGGAAAATTGAAATAACTACAATCTTCGAGTTTATGGATGGACGGCATCCAAAACAAAAATTTCTCTTACAATGTTAGATCTGCTTGAAAAAAGATAATGTAATTAATTTAGAAATCTTTCTAATTCATTTATTACGTCTCTTTAGATAAATATAGGTTACTTGAAGTTGTTAACTTCGAATTACCTAGAGACCGGGAAGAGATGTTGGATTTCGTTATTTGTTTGAGGCAGTCCAGTCGTTGCATGGGCAGTAAGTATTTGCATCTGTTTTCAAATATATTTTGATAAGACTAATCACAAAAAAAAATTATTTTATCATATAAGATGAGCGCACAACAGACTAAAGAAGAGGTCATTCAGCACTACAGGAACAAAAGAATTGGAAGATACTTTTTAGTTATATTATTAATATTGATATACGAATTTTTACGACAATCAAATCAAAAATAATTTACTTTGTGAACTGTAAGAATTTATATTTCACAACAATTGACATCAAATTTTCACAATTTGCTAAATTAGGATAATATTTTTTTTCAAATTACAGTAAATCTCAATTCCTTCACAAATATCGAGGTAAATTATGTAATATCACTTTTTAAAAAATGGTAGTTGTCTATTTTATATTTGGTTATTTGGTTAATAAATATGCGAAAGATTACCTAAATATTTTAATTTTTTTGGTTCGTTTATTTCAACAAAACAATGTAAATTTTTCTGAAACCATTTCCTATGTTACACAGAATTTTTTTTTGAATTTGATCGACCAATTATAGGAAATATAATTATGCGTCACTGCAGAGAGCAGCCATACCTTTTATATAGGTAGAACCTTTCTGATGTCGAAAGATAACGTATATCTCACTTCCATTATGCTAGCGAATCAAACCGATTTGTTTGAGCACTGAAAAAAGATTCTAGCGGTGAATTTAGTGAAGCTTTTAATGATGATTTCGATGGTTTCGAGATATGAAAGAAGTGACAAATACTGTACATCAATTATAGTTCTACTAAATACAGTTGCTGGAGATTTGGGGTCTGATGATTCTCAACGAAAGAAAAAGAAAGCAGCACCACTCCAGCTCGAAAAAATATATATTCTTCGGAATCTTAACCGAAAATGGTTCTGGTTTAAAAGATGTCATAAAAATAAACCTGTAAATATTTATACTATAACTTCACAGAAATTTAATCCTTATTTACTAATTTTTACGCTAATATTTTCATCACAACATCACCACAATTATCAATACGATCACAATCACTGAATTTTACGCTAAAAAGGGAAATCCAAAATTTTTGCTAATTTAATATTATTAATCCATTTTGTACATGCGACTGAGATCAGCCAAGTGGTCCAACAAAAATAAATTTTAAATTTTGATCAAATTTGGATTCTTCCCTTTTCTACTGACGCGTCCCTCTCTCACAATTATCTCCTCCTTTAGAAATATCAGAATTTTTTTTGTCATTTTCTGGGACATTCGTGCTAATAACGATGACACACCTAGAAAAAAAAGTTGTATGTAGTGTTCAATTGTAAAGGAAGGGAGGTTGCTCTCGAATGACTATTTGTATCATCCGCAATACACGTTGGAGAGGATCATTTTTATCAAGAATTTCATGTAATTTCTTTTATTTTACTTTGCCGATAAGCAACTGAATTTATTATACTTTTTTGTAGAAAAGTTTTTTTAATTCGTGATAATTAATTTATCATCTTAAAATCAAAACCTCGCCACTTTTTAATGGATTTTACGATTGAAAGGGCGGGAGAATAAACTTTTCTGCAAAATCATTAGGTTTGTAAATTATTCGTTTTTTTAATTTTTAAAACTTTAATATAATTATTAGAGAATATTGCAATCCAGACAGTAATATGGGACCTTTGCAATAGAAAAGGACATATGATTAGGATCGATTCAGGTACTTAATTTAAATATTTGTCGTTTAAGCAATATCTACATCCAATATATGAACACCACTTTTGATAATCTGTTATAATATTTTAGTAAGCCATACTTCCAAGAGATATTGGCATCACCATTTAATATAATTGAAAGAAATCGAAAAATTATTAAAATAAGTACGACTATTAGATAAATAAAAAGCTTCAAATCGTAAATAATGTGTATTTGTTCGGTCATTAGTAATTCTTGAGTTGAAAATTGACACGGATTACACAAGTTATTAATTCGATTTCCTATGGCAAAACGATACGAATGAGCAAAAATTTTAGAAAATTATTTTTTACAACACTTTCATACCTTTCTATATTTTGAAAAATTTGCATTGGATTTGAAAAGATTTATTCATAAACGATCGATCGCTGCGCTTGATGTTATGGAAATCCTAATTATCAACCCCACTTTTGACCTCGCGAAATGAGCGTTGTTCTTTGGCCGACAAGTGATCTGATGACCTCTCTGTACAAACGCAACATATGCTTCATAAATTTTACATTTATGTTTAAAAATTTTCTAAAGTTCAGTCAATTATGATATTACAATTGAAGTTGGCAAAAACCCAAATGCACGCATATGATCATATTGTGTTACCTTCACCATTTTTTCGACGAACGTATTCTTTCTATAAAAATACATAATGTGATGAAACCCTAGTTCTTTAAGTTGCCAAACATTTCACTATAAACTTTTCAAATTCTTTTGAAGTAAGTAAATGTCTGAAGCTAAGCGACCTATTATCATTTCTAATTATTCATATACTCTTTATGATTTTAGATATATTTATGGTGGAATTATTTCAATTATTTCATAAACAAACAAAATACTTCAGATACTTTAAAAGTATTAGTATATACCCATGAGCTTTTTCTTTAAGAACTAGTTAATTATTAGCAAGACTGATTAGATGGAACTAAATTTTGAGCTCATTCATAGAACAAGTTTCAATATTCTTTGTTGAGACTTCGCTTATGAGTTTCATTCTTGGTCAAATGATCTTTCACGATGTTTAAGTTAATGTGGCTTACTAGCGGAAGTTAATCGCACCAATTTCCTTAATTAAAATTTTCTTTTTAATTTTTAACTATAAAAATCCATGCCCTTTAGAACCAATGTACATTTAAAGGGGGTATGCATTTATAGAGAGAAATTTTAAATGATATTTATAGACTTACGGCTGTATGGAGGTGCATTTATAAGAAAAAATTTATAATGCGTGCATTTATAAAGTGTCCGTTTAGGAGTGGTCTCATCGTATATGGGAGCATTGCTAGTAAATTCACATTACGTGTCATATGTCTTATTATATCATAAAAGGTCATTTGTTCGAAATGAAAATTCGTAAAGTGGTCATTTGGGATATCCGAAATGCTCATTTGGTATATTATCTGAAGTTGTCATTTGGGCGAGCATTTGGGTCAGTTTGCAATGATCATTTGTGACATTATTTGAAATGATCATCTAGGATATTATCTGAAAAGTATATTTGCGACCGACAAGAATTAGATTTTCGATCGAGTTAGTGTTGTATTTAAATTTTCTTTTTTTTGTTTTACGATACTTTATATAAATAATTAAACAATATTGACTTAACTCTTGAAAATAAACTAGGCATAAAGTTTTAAGTTGAATTAGAATTAAATTTTTCGATGTGGTAACCTAGCAAGTATTAAAGAAATTACGATAAACAGTAAATAGTTTCAATACATTATAAAAAAGACCGGTGTATATTCGATTCTCGACAATAATATTATCCGTAAAACTCGAGTTAAACTATAATCGGGTCGGGTCGAGTTCTGTTATGTAAATTTACAAGTCAATTGAACACCTTCGGAGTACAAATTTCAAGCAAATTTGGGGTATATGCATGTCCGAATCAAACTTTGCATTTCTAATTCCGATTTGGCATATCCGAAATGTTCATTTCGGATAGTAACGCATTTGTGGTATAACAAGTAAAATATAAATTTTAGATATGTTCGATTTTGCAGATCGTTTACGTTTCACGAAACTTGAATATCCAAACATTGTGTGTGATAGTTAGTCAGTAAATCATAAATACAGTATATAAAACCATCATTTTTTTTCATTTCAAATTAAAAAATAAAAATAAAACTCCAAATTCCTTGTTCGAGATGTACCAAGTAATTTTAGGATTCATTCTAGCAACGTTTTACATTTTTAAGCGAACACATAACCCAAGCTTGGTATGTACTTATTTTTTTTGTCGTCGCGTTGGTTTTTTTTTTTATTTTACTAAATTTTTTCTTTCTTTTACTATTAGAAAATGCCACCACTCGTTCTTTATAAAATTCCATTTATTGGCCATACGTTTAGTTATTTGTTTGATTGCAAAGAGTTTCTTAAACAATGTAGAAAAGAGGTTATTAAAAAATAGCAAAATTTTCTTGAAAATTACTGCTCCATACTCACTAATGAATTTATCGTTTTAGTACGGTGATATCTTTAGTCTATATATATGGGGTCAAGTAAAAACCTTTGTTGGTAGGTTCAGGTTCCCTTGTTTAAACAATTTTTAATACAATATTAATACTTGTATTAATTTATAGGAAAAGAGCATGCACATGAAGTATTAGCAAGGGATGATGCATTTGACTTTGGTATAGTGGCTGTAAGGAAGCTTCCAATAGATGCAATGTTTGTAAATGGATTTGGGGATTCGAGATATAATATAATGGCAGTTAAAGAATATATCTCGAAAAAATTAGAATTATATACTGAACGCATGCAAGAAAGTCTTCATTTGAGTATTCAAAGATATATCGGTAAATGTGAAGAACCAAAAGTTCATGATCATTTATACAAATTTTTGTCTAAAGTTATCGCTGCTCCCATTGCAAATATTTTTATTGGCGAAGTAAGCATTCGCTTTAATTCTTTATTATTACTAATTATTTTTTTTTAAAAAAAAAATATGCAGGCAATTTTTATAAAATTTTTATTTCTTCTTTCTTATTACTTTTAATTTTGTTACTTTTAGGAAGAAGCAAAGAGTGAAGAGATTATAACTACATTTGCAGAATTTACAAGTAGTTTGTTCATATTTTATGCAATACCACCAGTTCTTGATTTTGTTTATCCAGGACTTCAAGATTATGTTAATCGTATTCCAGTAAGGTTAGGATTATACGATCCATCTGCTAGACAAAGAAGTATGTTAATTAAACATATTAAAAATCAAGTTGATAAACGGTTACGAGAGAAACAAGAGTATCAAGATTCGTGGAAACGTCCTAATGATTTGCTTCAAGACTTTATAGAAGAAAAATTGTTTGATCCTAATAAACCTAATTACAATGCGATAGCTGATAAAATGGCTTTTTTTATCTTCGCATCGATTCATACAACTTCACGTGCTAGTACGTACGTTCTTATCGATTTGGCATCTCGACCCGAATATATACAAGAATTATATGAAGAACAATTAGAAATTCATAAAGAAACAGATAAAAATGGTATCCTCCCAATTGAAGCTTTCAATAAAATGAATAAATTAGATAGCTTTGTTAAAGAATCACTAAGATTAAACGAAAATATAGCAGGACTTTCACATCTTACATTGAAAGATTATACATTTTCAAATGGGCTCCAAATACCTAAAGATCATATATTTTGATGATATTTATCAGGATGCAAAATCATTTGAACCATTTAGATACTTAAATAAAAATTCATCGGCAACAAAAATTAGTAGAGATTTTCTGCCGTTCGGAGGTGGTAAACATGCGTAAGTATAATTATTCAACTAGAATTTTTTTTATAAATAAAAAAAAAGTGTAACTAATGATCGTAATTTACTTAGATGTCCCGGAAGATTTTTTGCCATAAATGAAATTAAATTTTTAATGCATGATTTGATATTAAATTATAATTTCCGTACGGAAAATGGTAAAATAAATGAAAAATTTACAATCGGACCGATGTCATTACCCAACTCTTGTGGAGTCATATTTGAAAAGAGAAATGTCACCGATTGATCAATTTTTGTATTACAATTTGACAAAAAAATGAGCTTATCTAGTAATTTCACATTGAAGAATTTCTTAGGTATCTAATCTTAAAATGAGTATTTTAATAGGGATGTTAAAATTGATCCTAAATAGATTTAAACAAATTATGAGTAATATAAAGACCAATCGTTTATATATAATAAATAATACTTATTAAAAAATGTATAATAAAATTAATGAATATTTTTATAGGAAGAACCCAGTTCTAAGATTATGATTTTGGATTTCCCGCATAAGATTAATATATAAAATTAGTTCTTCCCTAAAATTTAGCAAATTTATTACATTTAGAGATTACTTAGGACCAATCATTTAGATCAACATAAATTATATTATAGATAAATTTAAAGAATTATTAGCATTAATAGGTAGATTTTTAATATTCTTATTCTGTGTACAACTTTTCATGATTAATTTTAACAATAGCAAATTCTAACTTAGTTGTTTATTTTAATTAAAGAAAAAGTAAAATGACGTTTGTAGTTGTATAAAAAATACTTCAGAATTACAAATATACTCCATTTTACATAATATAAATCATTTTAATATAAATTTTAAATTACAAAACTATTAAAATAACCATATATTACTAAATAAAAAAAGTATTATAAAGTAAAGTTACTTAAGTTTATTAGTTAATTAATATTAATATGCATAATATCATATTCTTTTCAAAATGAATATTAGAACAAAAAAAAATTATCTTAAAATGTATCACATATGAGAGTTGTGCTATTAAAAATAGGTTACAGAAATCTTTTAACAAAAATGAGATTTTGATTTATATTATAATATATTAAATAGATTTATTTGATTAGATTTTTAAAGAATACAGTTGATCCCCTCTATAATCACACACCTCAGGACCATGAAATGGTATAATTATATGAAGATGTACAATTTATGAAAAAATATTATTAGTATAATTATATATAAAATTTTGCATTAATTAATTTTATAATAAATTATGTAATATTTTAAAATTTTGTTAAACATTTCGAAGAAAATAAGTATAAATTTAATTATCTATTAGTATGAATTAAACATAAAACCAAAATTAATCAATATTGTGAAAAGGTCGAAATCAACGTTATTATGTTACATATTTATTATATAAAAAATCTAAATAAAGAATATGATCTCAGTCAATATCACCCTGTTTCTTATGATAAAACTGCCATTCAAATCCTCGAAACTAGATGAATCTAATGAGCTAATATACATCAAATTATGATCAGCTAATCACGAGATATTCACAATTGAATGTTAAAATCAGGTGTCTTTAAGTAGAATTTATTAAATTATAATTTTGGCTGATAATTCAATCATGATTATTATGTGATTGGATGATCTAAAATTGATATTTATTAGTTCATGTGATTCGTCTAGTTTTGATTTATAAGAAATGGAGCATTATTGACAGAGATTGTACTTTTTTATTTTGATATTTTAGATACTATTTGTATAATATAATTAATAAAAATATGATTTACCATAATTATATAAAGGAATATAATTTGATATGATTATATAGGAAGCGATTTTCTACATTTATTATAAGATGAGACTAAAAATTAATGTGATTATATTTTTATATATTATTGTAATTATAAAAGTAATATTTCTTATTTAAAAATTTGAGCAGAATTATAATGTGACTAAAAAAGGGGTGTGATTATATTGGAGGTGACTATATAGAAAGTTAACTGTATTAGCTTAATAATAAAGGAAGAAATTAAAATGTCAATCAGAAATTTAAAATTAGATTTTATAAAAATGATTAACATAAATTTTAGAGATAATTGATAATTGATTGATATATTAGAAGTTTGCTAAAAAAAATTCTAAAATCTTTTTATTGCATTTTAATTTTTAATAATGTTAGATTAAAATGCAATAAATATTAAAATTTTAATAAAAAATGCTTAGAGCCTTATATTTCTAGCAAATCTTCTATATATTAATAATATAACAATGTTTCAAAGTATGGTTTTAATAGCAAAATCTCAAGTGTTATGAAATTAATGTTAAAATATAAAATAATCCAATATTTATAAAAATAATTATTATAATAAAATGTTAATATATATAAAATTATTATATATTATTTTGACTCAATATATTTTTAGTACATTTTTTATTAGCTAGTTATATTATTATAACATAATATTTTTTTTTGATTATCAATTAATTAAAATTATTTACTAGTCTTATAGTCTACTTTTAATAGCTCATCTTTTATATAATGTATATCATATCAATAAATAAATAAAAATAAATTTACATTTTATAAGAGAAGCAAATAAAGTATTAAAATGAATATTATTAAAATAAATGCACATTTTAAAATTAATGATTGTATTCATTACATTTATTACATGTATCAAATGTAAAGATAATAATCAGTTTTAAGGATTTCAGTCTTTCATTTTAAAAGATCAGACTTAAATAATTGCACTTCTCTTCAGTCTTCTATTTACGTGATTAAAATAAAAGATCAGTAGTTAGTAATATCTACCTAAACTCTTTTTTAAAAAATTGTAATTTTGTCAAAAAAATTTATTACTTTAATATTTTTATATAAATAATATAAAATTATTATATTTTTTAATGTATTTTAATTAAAGAAATTTAAATTAAGTTAAATATAATTTTAGCAATTAAATAAAATAGTTTTATTATTAATAAAAAAACTAGTTTCATTATTTTAGTTTTAATAATTTCATCATATTAAGAAAAGTAATTTCATCAGATATCACTATCAGTAATCTTTTTGTAAAACTTTGGTCTTTTTTTAAAAATTGCAATCTTCAAAAAAAACTGATTTAATTAAGCTTAATTAATTAAAATTTTAAATTAATATAAATATTGATAATAAACTGAATTTCATTTTTTTTTTATAATGATTAAAATAAATAAAAAAGTAGTTTTACTTTAATAATAGTTAAATAAAATAAAGCTAAAACATTCCCTTATGATACTTTTGTTGAAAATAAAGCTTTAAATATTGATATTAGTTTTGAAGATAATCTAATATCAAAAGAAAAAATGCAGCAACAAATTTGATTATCAATTTATTCTACACTTTAGTTATATGACATTTTTTTTATAATAAATAAAGAATTGAAAATGTAAATAAAATGATTGTAAAATATATTATCTGTAATATTAGACAATATTATCATTAATATTAAAAACTTGAGTCTAATCATTTTTATCAAGCCTAGTGTATTCAACAAAGATTTCTACAAAATCTCTTAAAAATCTTTTTTTTATATTCAGAAATATATAAAATTATAGATAATTGAACTGCATATTCAATAATTTTTTTTTGGAATTAAAGAAATGCATTTTTAATATTCAAGAGTATATTTATTTTAAATTTTTTTTAATTTAAAAGAATAAAAAAATTCAACAAATGTATTTTATTTTATTTTTAAAAGAAAAAAATAATCAGTTTTTTAGATTTTTGAATTGAAAAAACTTTTTAATTTATTTGTTATCTATTTATGCAAAATCTTTTTATTTTTCATAAAATTTAATATTGTTTATGATATGAATATAAGTATGTTATTGTAAATTAATACAAAAAAGTAGAAATTATATTTTTATTTTTCAAAAAAAGAAAACAATATGAAAGACAAATAAACAATTAATAATAAATAAATGAAAGATTTTTTCAAAGAATACAAATAATGAAAATACAATATGATGTAACATATTCTTATTTTTAAAGCGCCAATTTCTTAATTGTAATATGTTAATTAAACAAATTTCTATGAGTCAAAATATAAATAATGTGATTAGACAGTTTTATTGATGTTACACCTGATCTGATCTTAAAACCTGATTAGCTATTCAAGAGTGACAGACACACATTAAAAGACGCTTTGGACAATAAATGTACCTTATGATCTTGATTAGAATTTCTATGAAAAATCAATTTTCCATCGAAGTTCAAAACCAAAGAAACCTTTTGCTTGTGAATTTATGGACTAAAATGTTCATCAATCGATCACTAATTTTAATTATTCGCAGCTTGACTTTTTTAATTTATATATCGAAATTATAGAAGAAAACGAAAATAGTTCTTTTGTCAGATGGAACTTACGAGATATTCGCGTCATTGGTAATAAAAAGACTTCTGATTGCAAAGCACAAGCTTCCGGAGATTTTATCGTTTTTTCTGTTAAGGAACTATACTATATGTAAGATATGTTTTCTGGAAAAGTATTAGTTACATAAGTCATCAGTTTACGTGGAGATATTAACTGGTACTTATAAAAGGATAATAACTAAGGTTACCGGAAGTACCGTACCGAGAATTATATCATCAGCAACAACGATTTTCTTGACTTCAGCCGCTCCAACAGATGGTAACAATATTATTGTATTCTATTGTAAATGGGATTCTCCAAAATTTTAGAGCTAATGATGTCATTGTTCTTTCGACTGGAATTCTTAATTTAAATAACTTCTAACTCGAAACAACCCTAGATCAAATTATTTCTCCGAATGGGCTTAGCCACGAATGGTAGTACTTTAAATCGAATGATGTCAACGGCTATGAGGAGTTCAGAACCAAGAACAAAATCACTTATGAAAGTATGATATACATACTGTATTCTAGTATTTCCGTTCCATTGTACCTAGATTTGATACTTTGGAAATCTTGAAGAAATGGATGTAGATAGCAGGGTGGACATACTTCATATTATCACATTTGTTGATCATTTTGCCGATCATTTGCCGATCATTTGCCGAT